CTCCCCGGGATGCTTCTTCCTTAGGTGCCTGGTCCTGCAGGGAAAAGAAATAGCTGTCAATTTCATCCTCCGCCTCCCTGATACCCCTCAGCCTGCTAACCTCCTCCCGGAGCTCCCTCACCTGCGCCTCCAGAGCCCTAAGATGGGCTCCTGCTGGACAGGTGTGGGGGCCCCCAATCTCTGCCCCCCCGACCCTGCTGGGGATCCCCCGCGGGCCAGGAGGTAGGGGGACATCAGCTCCCCCATGGCCTCGGTCTGGGTGGAGGCCTCAGACCAGCCCCGGGTAGGCTTGGCCCCTTGGGCAGAGGACCTAGCAGCACTCCTCGTCGACACCATTCTATAACTGCTCTTTGTAGATCTGTGTGGTGTCTACGCCCTACCCTTACAGGAGTCTCTCTCCTGGCCCTTCCTGCGCGCCCACCGGCGCAAACGCCAGCGTGCTCTTACAGAGCGCGCCTGTTTGTGCGCCCTGTTCGCACTGCGTGGCTCGGGAGCGCGGCTCCCTACCGGCTCAGCTATATGGGACCCGGGGGGCTTCCCCTCCGGATCCGGCTCAGCTGTGCTGGGTCCCTCTGCCCCACTTACTTTTGGGGGATCAGCTGTTGCTGCCTCCACTGCCGATTCCTTTGCTGCTGCTGCTGCTGCCGCCGCTGCCGCCGCCGCCTCCGGTCAGCAAGTTAGTAAGGGGGCACACGTGCGTGCGGGACACACGTGTGCCTGGATCCTCTCCTTCCAGCTGCTGGTTCCCGAGTGTAGACATGTAGACACTTGCCAAAAATCCGTTACTGCACATTAGGTTAATGCACAGTAACTTTAATCATGATTAATTGTATATGTAGAGTTGCCCTTTGAGAATAAATTTATTCATGGCCAGGACTTATTTATTCGTGAGCTAACCATACTTTTTAGTTCTAATAGTTCATCTGTCTGCCTGTTAGATCTGTGTTTATAGAGAGGAATCCTAGCCCCTCTCAGCTTGTTAGGAAAGTGAAAGCCAGGTTTCCTCTCACAAGCCTATCTCTTGTTAGATAGGCTCTCTATTTCCCTGATCTTTTTTCTTTGACAAAAATGATCTGTCTGCATTGTTCTAGATAAGGACTCAGCGTCCTGTATAATGCCATGTATGCTTCCTTATTTCTCCCCCAAATACTCCATGAAACATTGCTCTTACTTTGTTATGGCTGCATTACGTTGGTGGTACAGACCTCATTATAGGATTTTTAATATACCTTGGTCTTTCTCCTCCTCTATCAATTACTATTGATAAGTCTCTTGCTAGAGAAATCCATGGTCCTGAAGTGCAATCTTGCACTTTTTGCTATTATCCTGTTTCTGCTAATCTTGCCCTGAAGTCAGGTATTCATCTAGTTTTGGAGCCATACTTAGAGTATCTTTAATTTCCAGCCATCTTCACCACACTTCCCTTTCCTTGTTTGTCTTATTTATGAGGGTAGGGATCCTTTTATTCTTTGTCTTAATATCATTTGTAAAGTTTAAATCATCTTGATTTTTGGTAATTCTTACTTTATCCCTAGACTTTGATTCCCAAGGATTTCTTTGCTTTTCTAGCCCTTTTTCCCATTGGAGGCTTTCTACTTCTGTCAAATATCCTTTTTGATGTGGCTATTCAACTTATAAGGTCCTTCCTCCCACACTTTTACTACATGGCTGGGATGGATATTCTAGATAGAATTTTAAGGCAAAGATCCAAAATCGAAATCATCATCATATCTAAACACTTGAGCTAGTTAATTTCACTACCTGGTTCCCTTATTTCTCAGTTTGGCCTTTTGAAATCTAAAAACCTTAGGTACAGATCTATGTTTCTATTTAATTTAAACTAAACTTCTGATCACTCAGTCTAAGGTAATTTTCTGTGGCCAGCTAGTTTTCATTGTCCTTATTGCTTACCAATAATAAGCCAAGACTAGAATATGCTCTGGTTAGGTCAGTGACTATTTGGTGAAGTCTCTCAGCTGAATCATTCAGGAATAACTGGCCACAACCTTTATTAGAAACACCTTATTATGCATGCTATTGTGAAGATTTAAAATTCAGACTATTTTGATTGGGCTCACAGGGGTTCCCTCCTCTTGACTGCTGGGGAGTTGTTCTGTTTCTGCTCCTTGATTAGATGAGTCTGATCCTTAGAATCAGGTTTCTAACTCAAGTAGCCATGACTAAGAATTCAGGATTGATTTTTCTCGAATATTCTGCAGTATATAAAATTCACTCTTTTGATGAGCACTCCTATCACCAAATTCATTTGAATTCTATGGTTCATAGGGTTATTTAAGAGCTAGTTATAATTTATTTGCTATAATATTCACTGAAAGTGAAGACAAAAAATCAGGTGCCTGGGGCAGTGAACACTGTTTTTAAATAATACTCCATTGCACTGCATCAAGATTACTAAAAAGATTTCTCTCTTAATCAATATAAATCATTCATAATGTCATGGCTTCCAAACTGACCACACCTTATCACAGTGAGGGCGGCTAGGATCTGGAACCAACTTCCAAGGGAAGTGGTGCTCCTACTCTGGGGTTCTTCAAAAGGAGCCTAGATAATCACCTGGCTGGGGTCGTTTGACCCCAGCTTGCTTTCTGTCCTGCCCATGGCAGGGGGTCAGACTTGATGATCTGCTCAGGTCCCTTCTGACCCTACCAATTATGAAATTTAAAGCATAGTTCTACTTTGAAAACTGGCTTTGTTTAAAATAAGCAAAAAAACCCCATCATGTTTCTTATTTGTTGTGATCCACTTATTTCAATATCAAACACATACAGTTTATCGCATGGTTCTCCCCCTCCCCTACGAGTTCCAGTCTTGCAATCTCAAATTGAGATCTGAAAGTGTAATTCTGTTCTTTCTGACATATGCATCTGCCACAGGAATAAATATGAAGCCAGCCAAATGTGTCTGGGACCTGAAGGAAACAGTATATTTATAGTGGTGTAATTTTTAGGTTGGTTTTGTATACTGATCAGATACTTTGTATACATTGGAGCAGGCAGATTATAAATTTTCCCAGCTACCTGCATGCAGTAGGTGGCTATGACAATGCCTTGCTACTTGGCAGGAGAGTGCATAATAACTTGTATTGAGCAAATGTCTATCCAAGGGATAAGTTGCAAGCACTTTAACTTACAGTGCTGTAGTTTCACTGCCGTTTCCCATGGGATAATGCACCAGATTCAAGGAAAGCACACTGGCATAAAGGTGTATGTCTTGTATCTGCTCCTTGCTTACCCAACATAAAGGTTGATTACAATGATGTAAATGTCCAGGTTCTGTGTTACTCATTTGCAGTACAGTTGTCCTCTATTTATGTCCTCAGGTTCAACCATGCAATCTCACTGTTGGCTATACAGTTGAACAGTTGTAAGTGAACAATTAATTTGAACATTAATTTGATGGTGCACAAGCCATAAAAGCAGTCAGTTGTTCTTAAATAGTAGCATCAGCTCTGAAGAAGTGGCTGAAATATTCCTATGACTTCTGTTTAACTGAAGGTACCAATATGACTCAAACTAATATATAGAGGGGCACATGGCAGAGTGGCAAAGGTATCTTACTGCAACTTCAGAGGTGTGAGTTCAAGTCCTGATCTGTACTTGAAGGTAGCCCCCATTTGATCAAGATGTACATGTACCTGATCATTTGGGCTGGGAGTCAAAGGTGGCCAGGTATGACACTGGCCATGTCATTTACTCACGTGCCATTGCCTACAGAAATTGGAGTACCTTATCTACACCAGCTCAGTGGGCTTTTAGGCTCTAATGGACCTTTGACCTTGATCACATTATCATAGAAAAGAAGGGCTAGAAGGGACTTCAAGCAGTCATGGCAGGCAAAGCACCCTATACAAGAGTTTGTCTAACATATTCCTAATAACCTGTCATAACTACAAGGCACATTTGCACAAAAACACCAAGAACATCCTAACTTTCCACAAGTAAAGCACTGTCAGTGAATTGCTGCTGAGCTAGACTCAAGTGATCCAAAGAAGAGAACCATGCCTCCCACCACAAAGGAAGACAAAAACCCTAACAATCCATGCCAATTTATGGGGTAAAATCGCTTCCTGATCTTGAATGTGGCCATTAGGCTGACCCTGAACAGAGGGACAAGACCCCTGGGACAGGGAACCTCTAGTTTCTAATTCTAGAGGGAGTATCAGTGCACCACAGTCAAAAACCCCAGCCTTTTCTGCAGGCAACACCCAATACTTCTAAGGAAGGTGGAAAAAGCCCCCTGATACCTGTAACAACTAAAGGGGACAAAATTTAAAGAGCACAAGTGATAACTTAGATCATCTTCTCTTTGACAACTTTTTTTTTTAAACCACACCTACACTTTAATATTTTGGGGATTTTTTTTATTTTATCAAAGCTCTTGTTTTCATGGGAAACATTTCTGTCAGGTAAAGATGTTCTCTGTTTATTATTGCTGCTATCTTCATAATCTTTGCCAGAGGTATAATGTGTTCTGTCCCACGCCTGTTCTGCTGAGGACAGCAGACTGTGAAAAATGACAGTGTAATCCAGGAGCCCACAGTCTGGTTGTCCTGATGTTCCTATTCTTTTTCTGCCTAGTCAAGCCAGAAAAATATGACTGGTTTGAAAGATTAAAAAGTAGTATATTATGGCACTGCTTTTCACAAGAGTCCACTGGTGATTAGAGTGGTTGATATTTTTTCTGTGAAAAAGGTTGTCATGAGAACAGAAAAGAGCACAGTGTGCATCATTTCTTGTAGCCAGTCTGAATGCTCATGCTTTGTTGACTTCCTCAGATTCAGTAATGAAGATGAGTGTATGAGCTACCACTGGAACAAACTAAGTGTTTAGTGGATAGTCCAAGGCAGCTCTGTTTCAATTGGGTTTCTAGTCCTTTGTAATTGTTGTTTAGTTCTTACAGGGTGGTCAATCGAGAAGTTCTGCTATTGGATCCCTTCAGTCAGTAATCAAGGCAGTCTGTAAAGAGGAATCTTCATTCTTCAGCAATGCCAACATGTTCATTGACATGCCCAGAATCACAGAACTCTTGGAGGAGGATATGGCAAAATACAGCATTCCCAAAGACTCAAGTAAGAGAAAGTTCAATAATAAATTGCATACATGCACATTTACTGACATTTTTGCATCTTAAATGGAAATGTTGAAATAGCAACTTCATTTGAACTAGTTGGCATTGCAATTCTGAAATTACTGATGCACATTTTATTGCTAAGATATAATTATGGAAACAAGTAAGTCAGGTTACTTTTTGTATCCCTGTAAATAATCATAAATAGGATATTCTTGTCTTAGAGATGGCATATTTATTGGAAGATCATAGAATATTTAATATTAAAAACATTTTTAGATAGAAGCGTACGACTTGGCATTGTTCCGCTTTTTTGTGAACTTTAGTATTATTTTATGGTGACATATTAAGGCTTTGGGAATACAATCAGAGAAGGATGCATTTTTTCCTCCTATTTTGGTGTCATAGAAATGTTTGGCTACCTTACTGTACTCCACGTTAGTAAAATAAGTTGTCCATTCCCTGCTATTATCTTCGTTCTCATCCCTATGTATCCGAATAGGCTTCAGCAATATTTGACTAGCTTTCCTCTAGTCATCATCATTACTAGGTTTGGGAATTAACCATAAAATATTAACAAGATGTTATTAGATTGCCCTGTTGGCAGCCATGAGGGGGTGTTGACCTACATATAAACCCACAGGCCACCCTCTTACAATTCTATTATCTGTCCAGGAAGGTAATGCTGAGACTGCCTGGTAATACCCCACCACCCGTGTAGATGTGCAGTGTCTGGTGCCAGTCTTTATTACAACTGAACTGAGGTTGAAATATTACATCCATACAGGGCCAAGAACAGACAGTTTTCCCCAAACATCAATGATGCAACTGCACTTTTCTGGGGCACAGTTCTTTCCCTGGACTCCTCTTGACCTCATGTTGCCATAAACTTTTTCTTATAGAGACCTATGCAAGAAGTGGGCTACATTGGCTTTGTCTATATTTCTGCTGCAGAACCTCAAAGCACCAGTAAGGGTGTGAAGAGGCCCAACCCACCCACTCATGCCCTCAGGCATATTCCAAGCTTAGCAGTAACCTGATATGACTGCTCTGTACTCCCCTTCTAGTGCCCACTATCAAACCTGCTGGAGACTAGGGGCTTAGGCAGAGGGAACGAGCCTAGAGCCACCCTCCCTGGTGTATTTCCAATTTTGAGTGAGACTACAGACAGGTCTGGAAAGGGTGTACTTGAGTGCTGGGTCCTATTGGCATAGTCGCTATAAAAAACCCCAGTATGATAGTACTGCTATGAAATGTCCTGGAAACACCTATTCTTGTTGGTGCTCGCAACTCTACTTTGAAGTAGGGCTGTACGAAGCTTCAGTCCCTGATTTGATTCGGCGGAGATTTGGCCCAATTCACTGGCCAAATCTCTGAATCCAAACTGAATCAGAGGACCCTTTAATCTCCAGTCCACTTCTGGGTCCACTGGGGAGTGTAGAGGGGCCCCCCTGTGCCATCCTGGCCCAGCGACTGGTGCTGCCTGAGTCTGGGGGGGGGGTACCCAGGGTCCCCCTGCAGCCAATTGCTGAGCTGGGGGTGGTGCAGGGGGGCCCCCCAGCATATTCCCCGGCAGACCTGGAGGTGGACTGGAAGTACTTCTGGTCCACTTCTGGGTTTGCTGCTGAGCATGTGGGGGGCCCCCATGCACTCCTGTAGGATGCTCCATGTGCCCCAGTAAGCTGCGCTGGTACCTCGAGGTATGTAGAAAAAAACTTTTAAAGCTGTTTTTTTGCCTGACTCACTTATTCTCTGAATTGGCATCGAATCTTCAGATACAGATTCAGCCGAATCGATCAGGGACAGTGATCCCAATCAACAAATAGAATCACTGCCCCTGATTCGGGCTGAATGCGAATTTGAATTGAATAGGGCCCCCTTTGCACACCCTTACTAGGAAGTAGATACTGTTATGTTTTACATATAGAATAAGGCAAAGGGAAAGTATGCCTAAAATCATATAACAAGTCAGTCTGATTCTCAGTGGCCCTTCCTTCTGTACACTAATCATTGAACTTATGGCTTCTAGCCTTATGCCCCAAAACACTGGACAGCATGCTAAATATCCATGTTTGTTTAGGATTAACAAATGTTATGTGCTGTGTAAATACTGTTATACTTGTCTAGTCCCCTTGGAGCCTATGTTTAATTTTTCTGCAGTTACCATGTCTTTTTAAAAATGGCTTACCTTCTTAAAGACAGAATTATGGTGTGATATTGGCAAAGGACGGTGAGCTAGAAAATCCTTAGTCATTATGATATTTCTGACTTGCACTTACTGGTTTTAGGCAGGTCCTTTTAGCTTTCTGAAGTCCATTCTTCATGGTGAAATGCAGATGATAATACTCATGTGCTTCACAGAGGTGTTCTAACATTATATTTCTACTGTATGATAAATATGAAATATTTCCAAATCAGCTGCTAGCAAAGATGCCTGATAAAAGCAAAGCACAGCTATATAGGGACTGCTATATAGGGACTGTTCCTGCAAAGAGTATCTATCTCCCTGTGCCTGCTGAAATCTCTCTGGGAAGGACTGGGACCATATTTTGGAATGAGATTCTAAAGGACAAATATCCATAATTAAAACTTGTTTATCATGTGTTCTTAGGTAGTGAGAACACGTTTTTCAGTTAAGTAGTTGAAACTGATTGATTAAAAAAAAAAAAAAAATTAAGCACCATTCAGTTCAATGTTACAGCTGCAGCTCTCTGCAGCTTTCTGAAATAGAGTCCTTGCTATCTTTCTTTATAAAGAGAGCCAAGTTACATAAGAAAACAAGCTGCTGATTAGATTCACAAGTCACCTTCTCTTGTATATCTGGTCTCCCATATCTTAAAGAGCTTTTGAATTGCATGACATTTTATAGCAGTGCTTGTTTCTTCAGCAGTCACTTTATTTATGTGTACTTTGCATGTTGTTTCACTCTGAAGTGGTAACATACAGAGATTTTCAGATATGGGCAGATTATGAAGTATTTTAACTAAGAGACATGGGACTGAAAGGTGCCTGTTGGCCCATGGAATCTAGGCCCAAAGCTCTTTGAGTCCTGATGGCCTTTGATTTTAAGTAGAGGTTTTGGGTCCTCAACAACTCATAGCAAACTCTGGATAAACAAATTTAATATATCCATTAAGCAGTAATAACAGTACACTTGGGGCCTAGACTCATGACATGTTTTCACTGGTATAATCCCCTTTATGCTGCTATAAACAAAGTGTGGCCATGCAATCTATGGAGGCTTAACTAATTTAAATTAGGTGGAAAATTCATCTCAGAAAAATCAGGATTAAAACTGTATCAGTGTGTATGTTGTGTATTCACAGGTTTCTGGGGTTAATACTTTGTTATAGGCAGAAATGAGCTATTACTTGTTTTCCCTTCTGGTTTAGGCACTTTAATAATGCCTACTGTGAGCAAATACCCTGGAATACCTGCTCCTCTTTAATTCCAGTATAATTGACACTGGTATAAATGTGTTGTGTATCCAGGCCCTGAGAACTGAAGCTTTGCAGTAACTCGCAGGGTAGGACCTTATGTTGAAGTACATTGGCATTTTGTCACTGAACAAATCACCCACTCGAATAATCTCTTTTAAATGTGTTTTCCCCCCCCCCCATCTCTCCCTTCCTGCCCTCACAGCTCCATTTTGCTTGCAGCTTTATCAAGAAATTTTGCAGTCGACTAATGGGGCTTTGCTGTGGACCTTCCTGAAGCCCTTGCTACATGGAAAGATACTCTACACTTCCAACATTAAAAAGATCAATCTGGTGATGGAAAAGGTAAGCGCATGCTTTCTGATTATGTTAACTTAACTGAGTTTTTGTTACAAAAATTAATTGTAGAGTTAGATCTAAAAACTCCTCTAATTTAGAGAGCATTTATGTTCCTTGTTGGCCTTTACAATCAAGAGCTGTTTTTTGAATCCTGCTGCTTCCTCTTTACTTGGATTATCCATGGTTAATTGTAATTACTGTTACACAAGTGCTACCATGGTTTTCCCAGCCAGTGTGGACAAAGTCTAATTGTGCTACTTGGTATACCAAGAGTAGGATTCATGTGTTAGGTCTGTGAGAATAGGGAAGTATTTAATTTGGATTCAGCTGATTTGGAGGACAGTGATTTGATTCGGAGATTTGGGTCACTGTCCCGAATTGTTTTGGTCGAACTTGCTTCGAAAGATTCAGCGCTGATTCAGAGAGATTCGGTGACTGGCCATAGATTGTAACGGGGAATTACTGAAATACCTATAACTTTGTCATTTTGTGGCATATTTGAATGAAAACAGCAGGGATGGTAGCCCCTTTTGAGGTCATGAAGCCTGCCAAGTTTCAAGGAGAAGGGTGCAAGAGTTTCTGTGAATCTGCACCTCAAACTGTTCAAAGCTAAACTTGTGTCGTGTGTGTGTGTGTGTGTGTGTTAAGGTGCAGCAGGATGAAAACAGCAGGTATGGTAGCCTGTAACAGGGGCCCTTCCCAGTGCTGGTTAGATCTCTGCCTGCCCACCTGTTTCTGGGCCAACAGCCTGTCCCTTTTTTTCCTGCCACACTTTGATGGAAAACTGATTCAGATGTTTCCCAGGCAGGAGGCTGTCCATTTAGGTGTTCTGGGGTGACATCCATTCCACAGCTCCGTACCTCCCTTAACACCATGGCCCATGCCTCACACATTGAATTCTTCACCCCCTCCAGTTGTGGTCCCCTCTCTGGGACCTTTGGCTCCCCCTTAAGCCCTAGCCCTGCCTTCAGGTCAGTCAGAATTCTGAGTTTCTTGCTCTGGGCCTTCCCTCATGGTGGGCCCCTGGTGCTTTGACCCCGCTTTGGGTCCTGGCCCCAGTATGGACCAGTCAAGGGTACCTCTGATATCTTTTATTAGACCAACTAAATAGTTGGAAACATATATCTTAGTAAGCTTTTGGGTTTAAAAACCCTTTGTCAGGCTGAGGAAGCATCTGCAGTTGTTGTGTGCGCTCTTCCTGTGTGGAATGAATAGTAAAGAAGCCAAGAGGCTGGGCTGCAGGCAAGAAAGCCAGTCAGTAAAAATGTAAATTGAGGCATCAGGGAGTAAGAGAGAGGCTGGGGGAAGGGGAAGGGGACTGTAGCAGCCAGGTAAAAATGGAGAGGTACCTGGGGAGTCAGATATCAGGCAGGTTATAGTGTGTCATAAATCCAGTGTCTATACTGAGTCCATGAGTTTGTTGTTTCCAGGAGGCTGATGAAGTGAAGTTCATAGCCTCGTCTGTGAAAAGTGGTTTGTAAATTCAAACAACCACCGAACTTCGCTAACCAGTGAAGCACCGAACCATCACCACAAACCAACTTCTTACAGTCCAAAACACACTGAATGGATCCAGACCATGCCATGATAAGAAATACAAAACCTGCCAACATATTGCCAGTACCCCCACAATTACTACACCCCACAACAGAACCATCACCACTTCTAGATCTTATAACTACACATCCTGAAATGTTATATATCTCATCCAGTGCACTAAATGCCCTGATGGAAAACAACTGTGCACAAGAATGAATGCACATTGGAAATCTATTACAGACAAGAATACCCAACTAGGCTGAGGTGGGACTTGATGATCTGTTGAGGTCCCTTCCAACCCGAGTATCTATGAATCTATGAAACTACCTGTGGGGGCACATTTCTCACAAGAAAGCCACTCTGTCTCCAATCTCTCAGGCCTGATCCTCAAAGGGAATTTGCAAAGCACTTTTCACAGATGAGCCTATGAACTGCACTGCATCAGCCTCGTAGATAAAAAAAACTCATGGACTTAATACAGACATTGGATTTATGACAGCAACTGACTCCCCAGGTACCTTTCCACTTTTACCTGCTACTTGCCCCTTCTCCCCCCATTCCCAGCCTGTCCCTCACCCCCTGACACCTCAATTCACATTTTCAGTAACTAGCTTTCTTGCATGCATACCAGCCTCTGGCTTCATCACTATTCAGTCCGTCCAGGAAGAACAGGGGGCCTTCCCAGTGTGGGTGAGATCTTGGTCCGCCCACCTGTTTCTGGGCCAACTGCCCGCCCCTCTTTTTCATGCCACGCCTTGATGGAAAACCAATTCAGATATTTCCCAGGGAAGGGAGGCTGCCCATTTAGGCCCCTGATGTCTAGGGGTAACTTCCGTTCTGCAGCTTCATACCTCCCTTAAAACTGTGGCCCATGCCTCGCAGACTGCATCCCAGGCAGCTAAGCTCACCTGGAGCCTTGCAACTCCACTGCAACCAGCAAGCTTCTCAAAGATCTTATAGGTCTGGGCTTTCCCCAGCCAGGACTGTGCATGTGTGTGGTGGCTGGAGGTTATAAGGCATGTGGTGGCTGGAGGTATAAGGCCTACCCGGCTTTTACCAGGGAAGTTTGTGGTCCTGGCACTTTTGGGGGGTTCCTATGCTCTGGCAGTCCCACCAGGCCTCCCGACCCTGGCAGGGTACAGTTTTAGGTCATGCCCAGGACCTGGAGCCTCTTCCTTCCCCATAGCCCTAGTCCAGGGGTGGGCAATTATTTCGGGTGGAGGGCTGCTTACTGAGTTTTGGCAAGTCATCAAGGGCTGCATGACAGGCAGCCAGGGGCAGATAAATATTAATTTTCTAAATTTTTCAGGGGCCCCACGGTCTGGATGGAATAGCCTGGCAGGCCACATCTGGCCCACGGGCTGCATTTGCCCACCCCTGCCCTAGTCCATACCTCCAAGTTCATCCTGGCATGGGAGCTCAGCAGGGAGATTGTTCTTCCCCTGATAGCTGGTGATACAGTGAGTACCACCTCTAGCTCTGAGAGTGGGGCATTAAATGGTTTTAAAAAAAATTAAAAAGGAAATAGGTGCAGACAGAGCGGGGAGGGTGGTACTTGCTCTGTATGCAGGTGGAACTTGGTGAACCCTAGCAGCAGAAGGTTCACCTAGGATCCAAGGAGGTGTGGTGGGGTGTTGCAACATCTCCAGCAATGCGAACACCATCTCTCTTGGAACACTGGTTGGTGGACAGGACAGGTGTTCCTGGGCAACTGTAGCCAGATCCTGCCACATCTGGCTGCAGCTTGCCCAATAGGCTAAGGGGTCACAGTCCAGCTGCTCCATGTCCTCGATGAGATAAATAGCCACCAAGTCTCCACACTACCTGCCCGAGGCTGGGGTCTGGTGCCTCTGGATCCCACCATTGAAGCCATGCCCTTGGCCCACATTGGCAGTGGCTGTCATGGAGGAGACTGGCTGGTGCTGGGAGTGCTGGTACGGGAAAGTGGATCCCCCTCTTCCACATCCCCCGACCTCTGCCCTTCTGCCTCCCTGACTCTATTCACCAGCACCCCCGTCTAGTGATCCAGGGTTTTACAGGCACACACTCCCCTTCACCCTCGGGTCATACATGGCTGCCAGCATGTGGACCATACTGGTCTGCAACAGATCCAGCTGTTTTTTGATGCCCTCCTTGAGCCGCTTCACCAGTGCCTGCACCTCTGGTGACAGCAGCTTGCTCCAGCCAGGAACATTGATCCCCTGCAAGTTCATTTCTCAAGCTCCTTCATTACAGAGATCACCTGGCTAAGGAGGACATAGCCAGTGCTGAGGGTCTTGGTGGCCTTGAGGAGCAGCTTGAGGACCACTGAGATCTGGGAGATGATCTCCCACTCTGTTTTGTTAAGGGGGCCGCTGATCCCAATCTCCCCAAGCAAGGTCATCTCATGGATGGCCTTCTGTTGCTCAATCACAAGCTAAACTTGTGTCGTGTGTGTGTGTGTGTGTGTGTGTGTGTGTTAAGGTGCAGCAGGATGAAAACAGCAGGTATGGTAGCCTGTAACAGGGGCCCTTTCTAGAGTCAAGTATGTAGAATTCCACCAAGTCTCCACATTGTGCATGATTTTGTGCTGTGGGATGCTCAGCTCTGCCTGTTTATCTTGTAGCATCTTGCCCCCTTGTGTACTCAGGTAGAAGTAGTCCACCACCTTATGGCATCTTGAAATAAGCTGGCTGGTCATGATGGCACCGTCACCGGCAGCCCTGTCACCCTCCAAGCCATCCCTGACAATGAGGTGGAACTTGTGTGCCACACAGTGGATGCCAACAAAGCTGGCATCATGGAGGACCACCTTGACCATATTGGCCCCATTGTTGGTGACCATGAACCTGCAGATGAGCGCGCCCTGCCCAATGAGCCACCCCTGCACCATGCAGTTCATGGCCACTGGGATCTCCATTGCCATGGGGGACTCATTCATCACCTACACTTGAAGGAGAGCCCACTGACAGACTGACTGATCACACCAGTGCCCTATGAGGGAGAGGTAGGCATGATCCAGATGTCTGAGGTGAAGTGCAAGGCCACCTGTGGACCTGTCTTGTGCAGCTGCTCCCTCAAGTACTCTCTGCATGCCTCATACAGGGAGGGCACCATCGTCCTGCTAAAGGTGGTACATGCAGGCACTTAGTAGGATGGGGCCACGAGTGCCATGAGCCACCTGAAACCTTGACGCTCAACTAAGGAGAAGGGCTGGCCATCCAGAGCAAGCATCTTCCCAATGCTCTGGGTGACCTCGCTCGACCTTGCAATGCATCCCGCTTTGTCTGTGGCTTTCCCCCACTGATCCAGGGTGGCCTGCCTCTGCTTCATGGGGACAAGGGCTTTGGAGCGAGAGGTAGACTTCCCTTTGGGCACACTCCCACTGGTGCCAGGCTGAGGAGGAGCAAGGGGGTGCTGCCTCCTGAGATGCAGCAGCATCACTGTGGTGGTGAAGTGTTTCACCTCCTTGCCCCAGCTGATCTGCC